ACCCAGCCCCACACCACACACATGCCTCGCTGCCCGGCCCAGCCTGCAGCAGGACTCATGTGGTGTCATGTTGCTGTCAGAGCATGGACAGCAAGGCAGGGAGCAGAGGTAGAGCCGAAGTCGCAGCTGCCCCTGCCGCGTGCATAGAGCTGGGGCCACGTGTCTCCCTGGGCTCCTTGGCACCACCTCTGGAGAAGCCACTGGGCTCCAACTGTCTCACGGCCCGGATGGCTTCATTCACCATGACTGGGGATTCGGTTGGGTTGAGTTGCGGGGCCATCAGAGCCTGGCAGCTCATGAAGGGGCACAGTACCAAGGAGCCCAGGAGGCAGCATGGACCCCCCTCCCCCAGCTCCCCTGCAGTGAACACAGTGGGGGGAAGCTGCCTGCCTGCACCCCTGGAGTAGCACCCCCCCAGGATCAGCCCAGCACAGCTGCAGCCCCAGCCCCCCCAGCCCTTCTAGTGATGGCAGGCCACTGTGCCCCCATCCCCTTCCTGCAATGCCCCCAACAGGGCTGCAAGCCACGCCCCCTCCTCTCCCCTCACCTACCCTGTGCAGCGGATCACACCCTGGCCCCCACCGCCTCTGCCTCGCCTCTCTTGTGCGTCTGTCTGTCAATAGGCTCCAGGCAGTGCATGCACAGTTGGCTCAGAGCATTACAGACAGCCAGACACAACCGGAAGCAGCACGGCTTTTATTATATTAGAATTAAAGACACATTTTTAGCAAAAGTCTGGTGAAAAAGAACATTTTACTTTTGTTTTGGGGGGAATGAAGCAGGTAATCTGTTCATAAGCAAGTCAATATCAGTTCCATATATAAGAAAAGCAAGAAAATGTAAACTTTACCTTCTGAATTTTACCCTGATGTTTATGCTCCCAAACAGAAGACTTCGAAGTAAAACTGACCAATCTAAGTTCCACTTGGCAAAAGACTATATTGGCCATACTATTACTCATTTTTAGGCAGAACATTTCTCTGATTTTGACGGAGTAAAAACTGTGGTGCTACCACATGGACCACACAGGAAGAGTTTGAGCACATAGCACCTTCATATCAAAGGGAAGCACTGGGTAGAAACATCTCAAATTTAGTAGAAACACTCCTACTCCTTACATTATCACCTCTCACATAGGAATGGCTAGAATGAAAGAAGACTGTGAGTTACCAAAAAGCTAAGGACACAGATCCCTAGAGCAGCAGTAAGCCCAAATTATTTTTCTAGCCATATACTAAAACCTTCACTCCACACACCTATCTATCCAGGTGTAACCTTAACATCTGCTTCCCTATTTGCCTTTGTAAACCTCGTCTGAGTATCCAAAACAGACTGGAAAGTCATTATGCTTTGGAGTGGCAGCAACTTAACATTACAAAGTGACATACAAGATGCAACATTCTTATAGGAGAACTTGCTCTGTTTATCAGCATAGTCTTCTAGTTTGTTCCAGACATATCACAGGATTACTTATTCTATTAAATCACTTATATGTAAATATCACTCCTCTTATTATCAAAAGCTCCTTCAACAGCTATATTCTAAACATATTAAGGCAAAAATCTCTTTATCGTCACTGCTGACATTGTCATAAACTGCTTAACAAAGCAACAACTTTACATTTTTTGGTTAATATGACAATACCAAATGATGTTCCAAGATCAATCAGCTAGGAGACATTTATTAACAAAGCAATTTGCCTGGTTAAGGAAGTGTATGTAAAGATATAAAACAGCCAAAACTTTATTTTTTATAATCATAAGACAGGCTTGTCAGGCATTTGCTCAGTACTTGGGAATTTAAGGTCCTACCAAACTCTGAGTGTAGCTTATCTATGTTTCAGTATAGGTTCATATTTTCTTTGCAAAAAATAAATAAAAGGATCTGGGTGGATGAAGCACAAGCGCAGTACCAGTGGGCAAAGGGGGAGAAGAGAACACAGGAAAAGACTTCCAAGCACAGCCTTTTTTCACTACTTATGCTAAATATTAAATCAAGACCAAGCATGGAGTTTACATAAACTCACATAAATCCACAGAAGAATAGGTATGAAATGCTCTGATTTAAGAGCTGTAGTGTTGTCCTTTGTGTAGTGACTGGACTATAGATAAGTGCCACCTGGTGTGCAACTCTGGTTATTACCAACTACACATGCTTGTTTCATCAGTGAAAGTTCAGGGCATGACTTAAAAAATGTATTTGTACATCCCATTGAAGTAGAAGAGACCTTGAATTTCACTGTCCGTTTCATCACCATTTGGAAAAAAGAGATTAAAAACATTCTCCCTTGATAACTGTCCTATACTGGAAGGGCCCATTTAAAATGATAGTTTATTTATCCTTTGGGAATAGGTCAGCCTACCAATGAGAAATAGAAACAGAACACTGTAACACACAATACAATCTTTTCCAATTAGGGGGGGAAAAGAAAGAAAAAACCTATCATATGTTTAGAGCCTCTAAAGCATCCCAGGTTAAGATGTGCAACTCCATACCACCCATCAGTCACAGAGATCAGTGATTCTCAGCCAGGATGTTACTGTGCTCTGGGGTGCCCTGAGATGCTCCAGGGTGCCATGCAATGTTAGTACTATTAAGTGTACAAATATGATTCAGCCAGAAATTTCAACTAGGAAGCCATAGTGTTAAAAACATTCTAACCGGAGTACTTCACAAGAGAAGACTTACTATTTTTTTCTATAGTCAAAAAACAAGTGAAAACTTAGAGCTGGCACTTTTCAATAACTCCTTTGAGTCTAAAAGGGTTCAGAACCACTGCGGTAGACTGGCAAACTAAATAAGTCTTGTTGTTGGTATCCACATTCACCATTTTATTTGAATAATTTTCTGTTTACCCCATAAGCAAAATATAGATGCCAAACATGTTGGCTGGATAGCTTAAAATTATGAAAATTACCTACCATTTAATATGAGAGCACATTCTAAAAGAGCTTTGTAGTTTATATTCTCATCTACAACAGGTACTGAAGAAGCAACTACAGTGGTCACTCCCTGGATCACAGCTATGATTTGTTTCTGAAAGTTAACAAACAACACATCTTAAACAACCTGCAAAATAGGTATTTTCATAATAACTGGAAAGACTGAGAATGTTGTAACAAACGTAAGGAGATTTAAAAGCTTAAAAGGACAGATTTGTGGCTACAGTATGGTCTCTAAGTATGCTGATGTAGAAACTTGCACAATCCTTTTATAAGTCCTGAAGGATGGTTTACAGTGCAATCAGTTTAATATAATTAATAATTGTTTGAAATTAGACTGGTGTGTTGTTTTCCTTTTAACACCATCTCATTCTTGGTCTTTTTAGACCAGCAGAGGATCTTCATTGCAAAGTAGCTATTAAATATTAGTGTTAAGGTTAGAAAAAAAT